CACATGCAACTGAGACACAGCCTGTTGCCTCCATAGCCTCTCTGGTGATGTTTGACTTTTTGATAAATCAAAAAGGCCAGCGTTGCTACATTTTGACTCTGCCATAAACTGAAAGAGATGATGAGCTTGTAGGTGCGCAAGTATGATGAGAGAGACACCGTACGGTTACTCAACTGGCTAGTTGTTCGCTCATCTTCGAGATTTGAAGTCCCAAGCGAATTCAAACTTTAAACCGCACAGGCCATGGACACAATTTAGTTCAAAGAAGTCGGAGGAACTTCCGACCCGTTACATGTTCACTATTGTAAGGCTTCTGCCGTAAGCAAGCCGTCTCACTTCGGGATGATACAATCGGTCAGGCCTTGGACCTCTCGCAGCAGAAGACCGCGTCCCGCCTTGTATCACGAAGCACAAGTAAGAAGTCAGGATCATCAAGCAGTCCTAGCCGTAGCAAGCAACCAACTGTTGGCCTCTGCACTCATGCTCAAATTGCACTATGTACTCCATAGTTCACTGAACATTGGCCGTGCGTGCCCTTCAGCAGCTTCGTACAAGCTAGGGTCAATGGCACTGCTCGTCTCGGAATCTAGTCACCCCGCAGCCGGCGCATCCGAGTACGTGTTTCATTGAGCTGGGATAAGCTTCGACAATCAGTGGTTGATAAAGCTAGTGACCGGCACGTATTTCTTTGATGCAATCTAGTAGTGCTAAAGCTGCGTCTTTCATCGCATTTTCGGTCAATTCTCACCCCAAACTTGCATTTGCTGCCCTGCACGACACATCAAATTGCCATTGCGACGCGAAATTCTCAGACGGGAAAATACTATCACCCCATCCATTGAAGAATCACGGGACTCTCTTCTCGCGGACTGCATCTGACGACTGGAACACCATGGCCTCTCAACGGATCACAATCAAGGGCTCCGCCGCAGTCCCAGGCATCTACCGACTCATCATTATGACCCTCGAGCCAGTCTTCGCGCTGCTCGGCGCCGTCATGGTTCTTCACACACCGAATCAATACCTCGCCGGAATGACGCGTAACGCCTTCGCATACGAACCCAACACGCAATTCATCTACACGCAGCTTGGCGGCGGCTGGCTACATTTCGCGTTCACCGAGGGCGTAGTCATGCGGGTATTCGACGACCTCACTCTCTGGCGCGTTCTCTGTGCGGGTATGCTTCTGAGCGACGCTGCTTTCTGCCACGGTACTGCGCAAGCCGTCGGGGGCTGGGAGATTTGGCTGGACAGATCCACGTGGACTGTCGAGGACTACGTTGCTTTCTTCACGACGGCGCCGATGGTCTTGGTTCGGATCCTGATTGTCCTGGGTATTGGTATCAGCACACCGAAGGAGGCAAAGGGCAAGGAGAACGAGAAGCAGCTTTAGAGAGACTTGGACCGGGTACTATGAAGCCTATGGGGCGATGCCGCTAGGCATACTTGCTGTACAAGATTAGTATGTAATTCCACCTTCAGGGCATGCAAATTCTACATCTAAGAACGAATTTGTAGGACTACTTCCCGCGAATAAAATTAAAAAGACCTGCGCTCTGCTATGCTGGACATTCAGGGTCTAATCGTATGCGCTAATGCGACAAGTTGAAGACGAGTGACGTCAGCTTTTCATGCATAATACATGAAATTGATGCAAGTAGCTCGTCTCATCGGCAGTCAAGGTCGGTGCTTCTGCCGAACCTGTCGTAAGGATTCGTTGACTAACTCACGCAGACTAACGTTAACCGCTGAGTCACGAGCACACGCGTATGAGGGAACGCTTTGAAGGCTTACAGACTAGACCTTTTTCTAGGACCCCCCGGAGAATTGTAGTAGGGGTATTCTTGAGGAGTCGCAGGACTGTGCATTCCACCCTGTCTATCCAACGATGTCTCGGACAACTAGCTTCACCTATGTTTGCTTTAATCATCATATTCAGGTCCAAGATATCATAAGTACTTGACAGTTTTGTAGCTCATGTTCAAGGTCCGGTCACATAGGAGAGTCCCAATGCCTCACGACGTCCCTTACTGTTGGGGTCCTGGTAAGGCGCTTCACCAATTCCGACCGCCCGGTTTCCAAATCTTTCTCCTTGTTCATCATAATCGAAGGTTGCTGTGTGGAATGTGCTTCTGTTGTCCCAAATGGCTGCAATTCTCTTTAGTTACTTGCACATCCATCCATAGTCACAGATTAAGCAACTTACCGATGTCATTAGCATTTTGCCACTTGAGACGGACTTGTATATCATGGTTCTTTTGCAAGATATCCAGGAACCAATCCAACAGGTGCTTGCTCTCCTCCGCCGTCACGCCGTTGATGTGCTTCACGTGGCCGCCAACAGGGAAGACACTCTTCCAACCCGAGACAGGGTTCGTTCGTACAACGGGATGGACAGCTTTGAGAATACTGCCAATGTTCTTCGGGTTGCCGCGCGGCTTATCATAAAGCTTGAAGCCGCCACGCTCGGCAGCGGCTGCAAAGCCGGGCTGTTCAAAAGTGACCGTGAGGCTCTCCAAGAACTTCTGGTATGGAGTGCTGAGGCGGTCATAAATCTCATATCCGGATGCCCAAAGAGTATCTGTGCTGTTTTAGCTTCAATTCGGTGACTTCGAGACCTATCATGCGTGCTCTACTTACCGCCGCCAGTCTTGGGGAGCTCAACGAGGCGCAAAGATGAGTAGTCGGCCGGGACAGGTTCAAACGCAATATCACTGTGCCATTGTGCAGTCGACTGCTTCTTTGGGCTAAGCTCTTCACCTTCCAGAGGCTTGCGGTAGATCTTCTTGTGCTGCACAGAGCTGATAGTGCTGATCTCCGGGTCAGCCCCACCCAGTTCCCGCTCCGAGTTAAGGACCGGGTGGATGTGGAGTCCGGAGTCGGATGGTCGGCCGGTGAGCTCTCCCAATCGGAGGATTAGTTGCTTTTGCAGATCATTGGTCAGGTTGTCCTGAGCACGGAAGAAGACGACACCACGTTGCGAGACTGGACCACACAGTCAGTTACATTCGCCGCTTCACACTGATTGCTGACTGCAGCGACTTACTTGTGATGGCAAGATCTCTAATCAACTCGTCGGCGTTGGGGGCATTGAGCCAGTCAACCAGGTTTGCCTTTGGGAACTCGCGACCAATGTTCGGGGTTACATCAAAGGACTCATATTGTTCCAATGAGTTCGATGACTTAAGTGGGGTCGGAAGTGAGGTCTTGGTGCTGGTATGAAGAGGTACCTCGGTGTCAATTGCTGTAGGAGCCATGATTTCAGCTGACGGAATGCTTCAGATTTTGTATTCAGAGGGTATATGCGATCGATCGTTTTGTTTCTTAATTTGCTTTTTCTTCTCCTCCCAACGGGCGTAAATAATGCCATTTTATAAGTCGACCGGCTCGCTCATGATGCGGAGTGGTGAGGTGCAAGCTATCGCGACATCCTGTCGGCGGTTACGACTTTGAACTCCCGATAAAGCGACATCCGGTGAGAGTCAATTGCTCGGGTATTCCCCGCATTCTATGTACAGGTCGTAAGTCAAGAGGCGCTTTGGGATGGTGAAAGACAGCGAACCCATTTCGTGATTGATCACCCCCTTTACACAATGGCGTGGATCCGGCAAGAATGATGTGATCAAGGTTTCGTCCCACCGGATTGGCCAATGATTGCTCGCCTATTTCACCTCTTGAACAACCCTTTCATGAACAACCTTCAGCTCTTCGATTAGAAGCAGAACTTTCTACTTCAGAATATCTAGCATATGCATTAGTTTGAACTGCTGGTGGCTGGTGGTTTCCGTGGGGGCAAGCTGATGCAAGCCCGCGTAGGTGCTTTGTCAGCCCGCACTCCAATAAGTGACGATATTCATATTCACAAGAATTAGCAGATATTCCATCAGAATGATTAATGTATAGATGATAGTATTTGATGTGGTTTTGGATGTTATTTTGCGCAGTTGGGTCTGAACCTGACTGCATTGATAAGGGTCTGCAGTGGTGTCTTGCGTCAGATCCCTGGCTTATGGCGAGCTCGCAGAACGCAGCCCAACCCAGACTCGAAGGGACCTCTGAATGATCATTGAACAGCCGTAAGATTTGCGATAGCGGCGCTTGCTTTTGTTCATCGGTTCTTATTCTTCAGTGAGCTGAAGAATCCAGACCGAGAGAGTTGATACTCTGCACAGCGACCTCGGATGGCTACCCCCACTCCACCCCATCTCAGACAAGGATGCAGGCGAGCTCAGACTGAAAGGGTAACCTGTCGTCCGACGCCCGCGCTGGGTGATACGCTTTCAGATATTTGCAGAAACTTGTAGGATTCCCTGCGAGTGGGAGTACATACATGGAGTTTGCCCAAGGGTGAGGACAACAGAGAGGTGAAATGAGCTGATGTAGACAGGCATTTCCACCGTTACTTCTACGGCAATATCTATGGAAATGATGGCAAATTTGAGACTCACTCACCGAAAATAGTGGGCTTCCTTTTCGTCCCGTTGAATACTGGTAGTTGTAGGTCAACCACGTTGATGTCGAGACATTCCCGATCGTCCGTTCGGGCATGGCTTACTTCATTCGCTGCTCTCCCGCATATGGAAGTCTATTTCCCCCCCCCCCCCCCCGACAAGCCACACACCCTTTAGAAACCCGAGAACAAGGATAATCTCTCTCGCGAGTCCCTTGGGAAGTATTTGGGCATTGCCATATGGATAAGATGGACCCGAGATCCAGACCCCTACAGCCGCAGAAGACGCCTGCGCCTGTCTCCCTTGCAACAACGTGATACTGTGGATCGCATTCGCCATCGCAGCATACCTAGTCCAGCATGAACGTGAAGTCCCGGTGGCGGATGAGATCCACGATCCCGAAATTTCTGACGAGATCCGCCGACCCGTCTTTCCTTCGTTACAGTGCTTTATATAGCATTGAGGTGAAGCTCCGAGGAGACATCATATCCGGCACTCATCACTCAGCCTCAACACCAAGTCGGAAGGACGACATCATCGTCAGTAATCATGGCGACCGTTCTGGCAAAGAACGCCTTCCAAAAGGGGGAGGCAGACCAATCTGCCGTATCTCTTGAAGGCATCCCGGCTCTCGGGGCTCCCATTGAGGAGAAACGGTTTTGGTTCCAGCGAAACAAAGATTTCGACCCTTTCGCCGTCGCTACTCAGGTATGCAGAACCCTGGGTTTAAATGCACGTTTTGAGAAACCGCTAACTCTACCATAAAGCCGAGTGTTTTTGACGACCCAGATTCAGCCGAAAAATATCATCCACGAGAAGACTGGTAAGTCTTGAGAATGCCCGAAATACATATCGCAGAACTGGATCGTTTCTAATCCGTTCAATATCGTACAGGGAGAACTACCATCGCTTTGACCCTCTTGCTCGATGGACATGGGCCGAGGAATATGCTTTGGGTGAGTAAAGTTACCCTTTCTCCCAACTACCTTATTTGCGGTGCGCTTGTGCTTTATTAACTCTGAGAAAAGTTCGAAAGATCGATATACGTATTATGATATGGGCATGTATCATGTTCATGGCGCTTGAACTGGATCGAGCAAATATCAGCCAAGGTGCGCTCGATTCATCTCAACATCCGCAATTGCAGGTCTAACACGTGGCTATCATAGCAAACACGGACAATATGCTGGGTGATCTGAAGATGAGCACCAATGGTACGTCGTAAACTACAAGTATTGGTGTCGCAAACGGATAATCACTGACGAAGCTCACAGACTTTAACCTCGGAAACACCGTTTTCAAGCTTGCGTTTCTTTGCGCAGAGTTGCCATCTCAGCTTGTTTCCAAATGGGTTGGCCCCGATCGCTGGATCCCTGCACAGATGATCCTTTGGAGTATCGTAGCAAGTTGTCAGTTCTGGCTCAACGGAAGAGACTCATTCCTTGCCTGCCGTGCATTGCTGGGTCTGCTTCAGGGGGGATTCATCCCCGATGTAAGCTGTCTCTACCTATTCCAACTGACTTCCCATGAAGTCTTCCCAACTAACATCCAATGACTAGATCGTCCTCTATTTGTCGTACTTCTACAAGCATCACGAGCTATCGCTGAGACTTGGCTTCTTTTGGACCGCCATGAGTATCGCGGATATTCTTTCTGCGATCTTTGCGTATGGATTGCTCCACATGCGTGGCGTTCAAGGACATTCTGGATGGAGATGGTTATTCCTCATTGAAGGGCTGTTGACACTGGTCATTGGTATCTTCGGCTTCCTTTTGATGCCAGCTGGCCCTTGTCAGACTGCAAGTTGGTTTCGCGGGAAGAAGGGTTGGTTCTCTGAAAGGCGAGTTTGACTAGTGCTTTCTGGCACGGTGTGCTTCCAGAGAACGAACTAACGAAAGACACAGAGAGGAAGTTATCCTTGTCAACAGAGTTCTGCGCGAAGACCCAAGCAAGAGCAGCATGCACAACCGCGAGCCAATCACGCCAAGGTTGCTCTGGGACAGCCTCAAAGATTACGATCTCTGGCCCTTGTACATCCTGGGCCTCACTTTCCAGATTCCCATGACATCCCCGTCACAGTACCTCACCCTGACGTTAAAGAACCTCGGCTTCGACACCTTTCAAGCGAATCTCCTCGCTATTCCGTGGACCGTTGGTCACAGTAAGGACACATTACATATCTTCAAAACCACTGCATCTGTGAGACTGACACGTGCGATAGTGGTCACGATGCTGGCAATCACATACCTGGGCGAAGTCATCGGCGAACTCACCTTTGTCTCGATGTCTGGTCAGGTATGGGCACTCCCATTTTTGATCTACCTCAATGTAGTCGACACATCCGGGGTCAACAGATGGGTTCTTTACTCCGTCATCACGTTGCTTCTGATGTATCCGAATCGTAAGTTGCTTTACATCATACGTGCATTCAAATTTATTGTGTCAAATTATTGAAACTAACTGGATTTCAGCTCACCCTATTCAAGTAAGCTCAACAAATACCGGCTGACAAAACGCAATGATTTGATTTGTTATCGGCTTCAATCGCTGTGCAATTGCTAACTCCAATTTAGGTCGGATGGAACAGTCGCAACTCCAACACAGTTCGGTCAAGAACCGTCTCAGCTGCTTGTTACAACATGTTTGTACAGACGGATGGAATTATTTCTTCCAACATTTACCGATCTGGTAAGCCTCTCAGTTGGATATGGCACACGCACGAAGTCGAAATACTTACTAACTCTACAAATAGACGATGCGCCACTGTACAAACGCGGCAATAGGTCTCTTCTCGGTATTGTTTGCATGAACTTGGTTCTTTACCCATTGGTGAAGGCTTACTATGTGTACCGGAACAAGAGACGTGACCGGATCTGGGAAGGTATGTCGGAAGAACAGAGACTTGCATACTTGGAAACAACAAAGGACGAAGGCAATAAGCGATTGGATTTCCGTTTCAGCCATTGAGAATACCATGTTCGCATATGTTCTGTAGATCTTCTCACGATCCTTTTGTTGAAGATGACTTGAAACAAAGTGGCATAACCGCTCTTGATGAATCTCGCATATATACTAGAATACTTAGACGAACGGGAAATATCACATACGACACGCTTACAGATACGCCATTGGTGACCACGCGTAGCAGGTAACCAAAGAAGGGGACATCCCATAACTGCTGGGCTGGATGACGTTGGTACATACATTTCCAGTTTTCTCTAACAACGAAGTAATTCGGTTGGGTGCGTTGGGAGGGAGTGGTGGGAATATCTTGGAGTATTGAGGAACAACAAAGGGTTAGTTTTACCTCTCAGTAACGATACGTACTTATGTATCGACGTCATTCAACAGTCGATGGGATGTTGCGCTGTCTTGGTCAAGTAGAGTTGTTTCTGACGGACATTTAATAATACAATGGATATCAAAGCCGCCCATGCTAGGCCTCAACATTTTCGTTGTCTCCCTTCACTGGAATCAGCCCAATCTTTTCAAACCAGCGTTGGATATACCCATTGACCTCCTCACTCTTGAGCTGGTGAAACCAATGACCGATACCCTCTACGAGATGTATCTCGTCGAACTCACTACTGGGAGACAAATAGCTTCTTTCCGTTGTGACCCAATATTCGCTGTTTCCCATAGTCAACCGTGGGCACTTAATCTTGCCATCGTGTTGAGCCGCGGAGACCTCTCGCCTCCCAATTGCTTCTGGGTCAACTTGGCATGCGTATGACTGAGCCAAGATGACGTTCATATCTCCGGCCAAACGACGTCTGCCTATCCAGGTCAAGTGCCAAGCAGGGACCGTAGGCGGATATAGAGCGGGCCCAAAGAGCATGGCAAGGTTCTGCAAAGTTTGCAGAGGATCGGTGAGATACTTGTTCACTGTTTCACTTGGGATCGAGTGAAGCGGGTCAAGTATTACCATTGCCCGCGTCAAATCCGGCCTCACAGTTGCGAAGTGGTACGCCACGGCCGTGCCGAGAGAATGAGCAATGACGATGACAGAGGAGACATCGAGGTGCTGCAGAAGGGCGATGAAGTCCAAGGCAGCGGACTGCGGATAGTAGTCAATGACGGCGGAGTCAGCGTCCGGCCCAGGGTATGAATTGATGTCCGGAGTAGGTGCCGGGGCGGATGAACGTCCCTGTCCCCTGGGATCCGGAGTAATCACGCGGAAGCCATGCGTGAGAAGGAAGGGTACCTGCCAGTTCCAATCGTGGAGGTCGCAGGTGATGCCGGGAATGAGAAGCACAGCTTGTGCATCTTGCGGGCCCTCATCGAGGTAATAGATGGAGATGTTCTCGTTGCGCTTGAAATAGGGCATGATGTGAAAGAATGAAGACTGTATTATAGCGAAGTCTGTCGTGATAATTGGTCAAGAACACAAGATACCGCAGGGTCTGAAGTGAACATCTTGATTATACCTCAAAGAACCGCCGCATTTTATATGAGTGAGAAAATAAGCTCGATTTGGACAAATCTTCAATGAAGTCGGGTGAGGCCCGATTACTTCCGCTCGGGAGATTGAGGGTCAGGACTTATTGACCTCCTGACCAGAGTCTGACCGCTGTGCCCAATCATGCGATGGCGTTTTCACCAATGCGGTATTGCCCAGCCCGCCTCCATCAACGACGCCAGAAGACTCCCCAGCCCCGAAATATAAGATCGGCGACTGTCGGGGGGACTTCTACAGCAACACGAGAGAAGATCGATAGTGTATCCCCGTGAGTTCAAAGTAAAACTTGTACTATGCTTGACGCACCTTACCAAACAGCTGCTAGATTCCGCGCAGAGCTAAGGGATGTTTTCACGTCGTTTATTCGCACGGATCTAGACTAGGTAACACATATTGACAAAAGTACTGGTGTCAAAAGAATCTAGCGTCGCACGGCAACATAATTCATCAGGTTGTGAAAGTTTAGGACTAGGACCTGTAAATACACTTGACTTGTTGATATGAAAGATAGTTGGCAAATTTCATCTAAATAAAATTCTACATTTAGTCCTGTATACGTGACTGTAATTGGTGTTGATACTTGATTTTTGAAGCAAGTAGCGATTCTTCAGTTGGTTTGCACTGCTCAATTGTTGGGTGGAGAAAAAAAAAATTCGATAGATTTAGGAGGGCACCCTTGTTGAAACTTGTGGGCAACTTCTTCATTTCGACAATACACAACTGTGCCATCACCGGATTTCAGGCGGCCTCTATTCCTCCGTCTTACAGGCCTTGGATGAGGCAGCACATCACGTGTCATCAAAATCGGTCTTTCCACTGCTTACCTTATGACAATCTCAAACGAACATAATCAGGGATGAGGTAGGAATCGAGTAAATCACCAATTCGCTTTCGACAGAACACTGTGAAATGAGAGAGCTTTAAGTCGGCGACCAGCCCTGACTCGAAGCATTCCATAGATCTTCAATATCTCGATTGGCTTCGAAGACCGAACTGATGCTCAAGTTTGGAGAGCCGCCGAACCTGGAGCAATCCTTGTGGCTAGGGGTCTGAATCCAGGGTTCGTGTCAATCGAGCTCCCACATCGAACTAAAGTGCTCTCGAGGTGGGCACCTGAACCGGCTGCGAGCTGGGGTATTTCTGTCAATTCAAGTACACGAGAGTTCGAAAATGGTATCCGGGCCTAGTGCAGAGGTGGGAATGCAACGGACGCATTAGGGTCGGAGAAAGCTCCTTTCGAGGCAGCAGGCCGGCCGGCAGCTAATCGATGCTTCCCCGCTGCACGCTGCGAGGTCTGAGTAACGTGGCAAGCTACAAGTCATTTTCGACTAATATCTATCGACTTTGACCGTCAGAGTCATGATCAAAGGATGTACTTGTCATGGAGTTCCTTTTTCTCAATCTTAAATACTAATTCATCAGTGGATTCGCATGCCGAGAGTCACACAGCATGATAAGCGCAAAGGGTTCGGAAATCTCATTGCCGACCGCCGGAGATCGGGGTCAGTGTGGGCTGAGACTGCATAGAGGCCTGAACATCCGTTGCTTTTTGCGATCAGCTCCGCTACCACTTCCCGGTAGAGCGAGATGCAGTTGGGCGCCGTGCGACTCATCACATATCAGCCCTGCCAGCTATAGGTACAGCGAAAGATTGTGGGTAGATACGCACCTCGGATGCAATGCAGGTCGATGGTTTTGAGTATTTGAGGAGATAAAGCACATGAATGGTCCTTGGCTCTCATGGGGATTCGGAAGTTAGGACGCAGTCGATCAATCCGATAATGACGTTGCTTGTATTCTGAGACGGTTTGGTCCACTAAACATGAATGTATAGAGGGGAACAACCATTCGATGACCGCAGGGAACTGGGACGCAAGAGTCTCAGTAATGGAATACGATTGACAGGGACGAGCGATGGAGATTCAGTCGAAAACGGACGTGTTTTCTCAAGGCTGAGGTTCATACCTGGGAACCTGTAACTCAGCGGTCAAGAATCGACAGTAAACTGGGACACGGAGGATTGGCCGTCCAGCGCGTGGGAAGAAGTGGCCCAGCAGGGCTAGAACAGTACTCGACTCGAGTCATCAACCTGATAACCGGGCACCTGGGAATGGATGATACCGGCTTGAACTGCCCTAACGAGACCCAATAAACGCCACCAGTTGTCCCAACAGCACTAAGGTACTCCGTACAAGGCACGTCTCACAGGCGAACAGTGACTGGTGTTCAAGGGAGCAATTCCTACAGGCTCCAGGGTAATGCTGCAGTCATCAATGGCAGAGGCGACGGCAAGAATGACTTGATTCCCCTCTCTCAATCTCAGTCTGGCAGGTGGACGGTGCCACAATTACGATCGTAGCGCAAGCGCTGTAGCGGTCCGTCGCCGTCCAGAAGAAATCGCAGGAGAAACCGCAGAAGAGGAATGTACCTTTCCCGTGTCCCTATCCCGACGGTGCTTGTCCGCACTATTGTATAGCCTTGATCGATGTCCTCATCGGTGTCAATGAAAGCCAGGAACATGGAGGACATCACTTGCCCTTGCTAGCGTTCGTAATCTTCTTCGAGATGCTCTGAGCGTTCGGTATGCGTTGTGTCTCAGGCCGACAAATTTCTGGGGCCTTCGTGACAGTCGCTCATAAGCCATGGACCCCTTCCGGATAATTTTCCTCGCGAGCTATCTAAACCTGCCGCGCCTGCTTCTTGGCCGGCCTCCTCCTGTTATCTACGCCAGTCCAGATGTCTCACGATCTCGTCAGGTCCCTTGAAACCAGCATACAGAGGATAGGAGGAAGAGTACTCTGTAAGACAAACGCATTCCATCCTCCAAACCTTAATCCCCTGCACGAATGAGAAGCCTAGACCTCTGAGCGCACCCGGACGCACTTTTTCAGCAACCCCGCCTCCACACTCTTGACTCGGACAGACTTCCCGTTCACTAGGTTGACTGACGGGTGGTCCGATTCATGGGTCATCCAGGCTAGGGTAGCTTGAACTTCGGAGCCAGGGCCGCTAGAGATTACGACGCAAAGTGTCAACCAAAACATTGTCATTCTCCCACTCACCCTCATTCCAAACAGTTTCACAGAACTTGGCGAGGCTTCGAATTTCACGCGGACTAAGCTCAAAAGGCCCGAGTACGGCGGTAGCTTGAGTGCATACACTCAAGAAGGTCCTAGCCGTGCTGTTACGATGGGCACATCAAGCAATCCCGGAAGCCCTAGCAGGGGCCCTTCTGAGGGCTCGCGACGCGACGATGATGGTGAGCTGAATTGACTTTTCAATTTCGGGGATGGCCCTATAGAAGTTAAAACCTCGAAACAACAAATGATATCACAATTGTCGCGTCGGATCGCGTCTTATCAGAAGGATGGTAGTAACAAGAGACAGCAGCGTCAGCATCTGCCGCACCCGGGGCTGGCGGTTCAAGCACGGAGCAGACGACGACGACGACAGTCTCCGATACAACGACGACATCAACCGATCCAGTTCCAGCCCAATCAAGCATTTCCGGCCCTCCTGTACAAAGCTTCGCCGGGCCCTCCGCCGAACATCCCCTCGAGGCCGGCGGCACCGACGATGATGATGAATTTACTCCCAGCGTCTTTGACGGATCGTCAATAGCCGACGACAGGAGTCAAAGGACTGACTCAACCTCCCTGAACTCTAGCGTCTATGAGCATAGCTTCCAGCACGGCCGGCGTTACCATAAGTTCCGGCACGGACGGTACCCGATCCCCAACGACGAGACGGAGCAGAACCGTGAGGACATGTTGCATGCGATGATGCTGGAAGCCACGGATGGGAAGCTTTATTTTGCGCCTATCGGGGATAACCCACAGAAAATTATCGATCTCGGCACGGGAACTGGTATCTGGGCAATTGAGAGTGAGTAAAAATATCCGAATCTCTCTCTGAGAAACCAGAACACGCGGAAAGGATTTAGAACAGCTAACCGAAGAAATAGTGGGCGATTTGTTCCCAAGCGCGGAGATCCATGGCCTTGACTTGAGCCCTATCCAGCCCGTTTGGGTACCACCGAATGTCAAGTTCTTAGTAGATGATGTTGAGGATACTTGGTTGAACGGCACAAATTTTGACTTTGTCCACCTACGAAACATGGTGCCCGTTCTCAAGTCACCCGTTGGCCTGCTACGAAATGCATTCGAGTATGTTCTTTGACTTCAAATCTCCACCTCTCCCGTACTTCGAATTGATCATACCGTGTAGGCACATGAAGCCCGGCGGCTGGGTCGAACTTCAGGATGTTGACGGCCAAGTTCACTGTGACGATGGCACGATGCCTTCTGACTGGCCCCTTGTCCGCTTCACGAACCATCTCGTAGAAGCATTCGCGAAGTTTGGAACAAATTCTCATGCCGCTGTGTTTGGACGGCAGTATTTGGAGCAGGCCGGATTCGTCAACATCCAACATCACACAGTGAAGTTACCGTATGGCACATGGCCCAGGGATAAGTAGGTGCCGTCAGAAAGTCCAAACATATGATTCGTGACGCACTAACAATCTCCTTTTCTCAGAATTATGCGACTAATTGGCATGTATTACCGTACCGCCTGCGAAGAATTCTTCCCAGTAGTAGGTGCAATCCACTTTCAGATGTTGGGATGGAGTAAGATCGAGATGGAAGTTCTCTTCGCCGAATGTCGGAATGCCATGAGAGACCCTAATGTACATGCTTACGGTATGATGCATTTCTGGAGTGGACAAAAGCCTTTGTGAACAAGGCACTGGGGGGTCGCAGAACGAAGGAAAAGACATCGGCTAGCACGGCGACTGGGTTGGAGAGGGATAGCGACGGAACGCAAAGTCGGGCTCATAAAAACCTGTTTGATTGCACGTATCCTCCTTC